GGTCATGTAGGCTTAAGTTTTCCCACCTCTAGAAAGGGTACAGGAACGAGAGGAGCCCTAAAACTCCTTCCAAAACAACCCCTCATGTTCCTTTTGAAGGCCAGCGACGGGCTCCTCACTGCCGCCAGGCCACTGACCAGGTCCCTCTCCCGTCAAGCCACATCTGCAAGGTTTACTGCTTCGTTCAACCCTCCAGGAAACTGCTTTGGCAGGAGGTCACAAGTTGGGAGCTGAGGGTCCTGACTAGTTCTCCCTTGAGTTTTATTCCACCTGCAGTTCACAGAAAGAGTGAATTTGTGGCAAAATAGAGAAGTCATGAGATTTTATTGTAAAATTGCTCCCCAGATTCTCTCTCTGTTATCTATCTATCGGAAGAACTGTTAGCATTAGTCCAAATCCTGGTGAGGCAGCCAGCTGTGGGGAAGGGGGTTCATGCCCCTTCCAGTTCCCCAACACCCAGACTCAGCCCAGCGTGCCCCACCTCCCCCCAGTGGACCTGGAAGTAGGGGATCCTGCCCAGCTCTCGCCCAGTTATTGTGCCTAGACTGGAGGCGCCATCTCACTGCTCCATGCCGGCATTCACCCCAGAGCAGGCTCTCAGTAGCAGAAAGCCGTAGAGACCTGAGACCTGGCTTCCACAGCTCCCAGCATTCATGACCAGGTGGAGGCAGAAACCAAGGGCTGTTGAGTGTGGAGAGGGAGAAGGGGAGCCAGAGAGAGTGAGGCGTCTGCTGAGAGACGTGGGCAGGACTTCCTGCCAGGACCAGCTGCTCCTCAGCAGCCTCCTTGCCTGGCTGGGCCGGCGGCTCCACCTCCAGGCTGTGTCCTGCACATAGGCCTGGCCTGCCTGCTGCCCCTCCCGGGTCCTCAGGATTGGTTAGTGGTCGGCTCTGGGGGACACACGTGCCAACTTCCTAAGAGTCAGGCCCAGGGTACCACACCCCCTGCATGAGGGACCAGGGACCCTGGCTCCTGGGATGCCTCATTGAAAAGGACCTGGCAAAGGTGCTCAGAAGGTTTAGAGATGCTAGACCGACTCTTGGCTTGCCCAGGTAGCAACATGACAGAAAAAGGGCTTAGTTTGGTCCTTGCCAGAAAGCATAGGAAATGCTCGCCAGGTGGGAGGCAGAGCACTACACCTGCTCTCACAGGGACAGAGATGCCTGCAGAAGAGCTGAGGTAGGAGTCGGGAGGCAGAGGGCTGCCGTTTTTAACCAGGAGGACAGCTTCTGTTCACAGGTAGAGTTGGACTCAGGGCACTCCCAAGAAAACGGGTGTTCAAGGGTGTCCATAGACCATGTGGGAAGCTTTTGACAATGCATATTCCAGGTTCCTGCCTAGACCAGCCTTCACACTCTCCAGGAATGGGCTCAGATGAATTTTAGCAAGCCCTTGGGTTCATTCTGATGTATCCTGAACTTGAGAGACACCAGACATGGTCATGTACTAGCTCTAGTATATGAGTGCACTCAGACTGCCACACCCTGTGGGGGTGGCCTTTCCGGATGATGTGGACATCAGAGGTGGGAGCCACTTAACAAAGCCCTGTCCCCATCTGGAAACCCAATACTAGATCACTAACCTCAGGTGGCTGTTTAAATTTAATGAGAGTTAAATAAAATCAAACATTCCATTCTTTAGTGACAATAGTCATCAGTTGCCACCTGTGGCTAGTGGCATTACCACCAGCCAGCACAGATGTTAAATGTTTCCCTCATCTCTGAAAGTTTATGTCAGCTTAGGGGATTCTTGACTGTCTCATACAAGGAAAACTAGCGTTTTCCTTTCCTAGTTTGTCTGTTCAGCCTATAAACTAGCGGCTGTACCAGAATAGACTTGGTCCTGGGTACTGCCTGTCACTACAGAAAGCCAGTAAGCAGCAACAGAAATGGAATCTATAAGAAGCACTTTATTCGCAATGCTGGCCGGCAATCGGAGAGAACAGCAGGCACAACAGAATGAAGAAATTCTGCCGTCTCGTCTCACGCTGGCCTTTTCACATTGATTTAAACAAAAACAGGTAGTCACAAGCTAACGGCCCATCAGAATGGCCCGTCACTGCTAACGTTCCTGGAGTTTGTCATGCTTAGCCTCCTGGTTATCTTGACCCTGGTACATCCTGCCCTGCTGATCCTGATTCATTTCTGGTCGGTGTCAATGCCCAGCGCTCCTTTGTGCATCCTCAGGGCAGGAATTTCAGTTCAATATTACAAATTTTAGTTTAAAGAAACAGGCCAACCCAAGAGGAGAAAACACACATTGTACAAAAGTGAAGAATGATGTAAAATATATATAAAAAGAAGACAGATCACTGGTCATGTAGCGTGTCGGTGAGCCTGGCCCTGTCCGCCAGCCCCATCATTGGTAAAGTGATAACAGATCCGCATGCTAAATGCTGTAAGCTTAGCCATTGCAGCAATCCCATGAAAAGGTGTGATTATTAACCCTATTTTGGCGGCGCAAAAATGAAGAATTAGAAAGTCTATGTATCCAAAATATCTGAAATTGCACAGCCAGTAAAGCTGAGAACTGACCCCAGGTTCACCCGACCCACAGCCCATGCTCTTAGCCAATGCACTGCTCATACAGCCCCACCACACAGTGAGACCCCAGCTAGCACATTCAGTGATAAACCAGCTCTCAGACCTGGGGATGGCAAATCTACTTCTTTTGTTCCTGGTGAAGGCAAGCAAAATAGCTCAACCCATATGTTCCCATAGTCCCATGTTAAAAATCACCTTCACATAGGACTTGTAAATAAGTTTGTGTCTGCAAAGCCCTCCAGACACTACTTAAACAAACATGTTAAATGCTTAAAAAAAAAAAAAAGAAAAGACAAAAGCTACTCTCTCTGCAGGAGACAAGCCCTGGGAGCCATTTTGAAGCTGCCTGGGAAATTGAACTCGTTACTTTTGAAAACTAGCCCCATTCAGTGAGACATGCTGCAATGCTTGCTCTTTAGCCTCTGGCCTAGCGTGCGAGTCCTGACTAGTTTTTCCTGTCTCTATTTTAAAGAAAAGAAATCTCTGGGCCAAGAGCCCTCGTTTTGGATCCCAACTCTGCTGTGTGCTCCCTGCAGAAACTTGGGAAACTTCTACAAACAGTTTGGGCTCAGTTTTTGCATCTGTAAATTTGGGCTTTTAATATCTGTTGAGATGAAATGAAGCGACTTCTGTGCAAGCACCTGGAATGTTACAGACGCTCAAACAATATTGAGCTTCTCTTTGAATCCCCACTATGGTCTTGTGATATAACAGGATCAGGAGATTGGGAGCTGAGAGGGAGTGACATTTATAGCAACCCTCTCAACAGACAATTCCTCTGTTTATCACCATGTAGGTAAACCATTGACTTGGGAAATGTCTGTAATCAAGAACAACTTTGTGTGTGTTTTGGTGACATTTTAAAGAGAGTGAAACAGAATGTTCCCTCTAGCAATTGCAAGCCTCTCCAAGCAGGAGAACGTAAGTGGCTTTGACATAGGCCATCAGGACTTTGTGAAACACAGTAAGGAGGGAGCAGTCAGAGGGGGCGCTCAGGGCTGTGCACTCAGAACTTGCTCTCTGGCTTCTGATTCATCCCAAATGACTGTCAGCATCAGGTTGAGGGTCAGGGGGCATTATGGATCCAGAAAGCTTCCTGGTGATGCAGTTGTGGTCTCGAGAATCAGGAACCAGACTGACTCTATTCTCAACTATTCTATTCTCAACTCCATCATCACTAGATGTGGTTTAACCTTTCTGAACCTCAGTTTCCTCATCTGATGCTAACTATGAGGCTGATGATGGTGGTATTGCCAATGCTGATGACAGTGTGATGGAGGGGAATCATGATGCTAGAAATTGTGATAATGAAGAATATTATGAGGTGACTAAAGTGCTAATGATAATGATGTAATTATGGCAGGTGATGATGATAGTGAAGATGATAGCACTGGCAGTGATGGTGATAGTGACTACAATAATAGTGTTACTTATGCTAATGAGGAAGGAGTTGGATAGTGGTGACCATAATACTGATGGTAATAAGGGTGTTAATGATGTTAATGGTGTTAATGATGATGGTGGGCTGGTGGCAGTGGTGGTGATGTTGGCAGTGATGGTGATAATGGTATTGGTGCTGGTGTGATGTTGATGCCTTGCTAGTGATTATTGTGGTGATGGTGGTGGGAGTGGTGTGATGGTGGTGGGGGTAGTGGTGATGGTGGTGGGGGTGATGATGGTGTTGAGTGATGACAATGATGATTATAATAGTGAGACCCTGAATTTCACAATGCATGGGAAAAGTAGGTTGGAGTACTGTGACTTTGAGCAACTTAGTTCTGTCTAAACATCTGTAAAATAGTAATTAATATTCATACCTATTGTAAGGTTGTCACAAGAATTATACTAAAGCATATAAAATACTTGCACACATAATAAGTGCTTAATAAATACTAGCATCATCGTTAATTACATTATCATCATTGCTCTGTCTCCCTTGTTTTAGGCATCTTTCCTGTTTATCCTGGGCTGGTATCATTAGTCTTATTATCAAAGCCTTAGTCAGCATTGGATGATTTCCAGCCAGACCCACAGAGCTTGGTTCCTTCACTGTCCCATCTGTCTCCTATATCGTCTATGATTAAGTCTTGTGGACTTTAAGTTGTCCAGGGGTTCTGCTGAAAGATGGACCTCCTATATTCCTAGATCCACAAAATGGGGAGTGGGAGGAGGAGCGGAATCCATGCTGTAGCCATCCTGAGGTGATATCTGCAAAGATGGGTATGTGCCAGCCATCTGTGCCAATTTGGATGCACTCACCTTTGTGCCTGACAACGGGGCTGCCTTCCACCTGTCGCTGGTGATCCTACGCAGTGGCTGGGTGCCTCAAGCTGGCTGGCTTTATGTGGGTGTGGGAGAGCTGCAGGGTCTGTACTGACTTAAACAGGACTTGCAGATCAGAGCAGCCATCAGGCTCTTTGATACCTCATTTTCCTCACCTGCCCCCTTACCTTTCAGAGATCTGATGGACGGCAAGTCACACAAGCCACTGCCTCTTGGTGTGGAGAATGACCGAGTCTTCAATGACCTGTGGGGGAAGGGCAACGTGCCTGTTGTCCTCAACAACCCATATTCAGAGAAGGAGCAGGTAAGATTGGTACCAACCTGGCTCCCACACCCCCATGGGGGTGAAAGCCAAAGAAAGCCAAACTCTAAAACAATGGGGTGGAAACCAGCTGCCCTAGTTGAAAGGTTGCTGAGGTGAGGTCAGAGCATGTGTCTTGGGATATGGATTCTGGCTTGGTTTGTTTTATTTTGTTTGTGACTTTGCCATTTTCTTCCAAAAAATTCTAATTCTCTTCCTACCAGGAAAGTCAATCGCTTGGTTACAAGTTTAAAAGATAAAAAGTACTGAAGGTGAAAAGTTCTTCTCTATCCCCTAATCCCAGTCACAGTTTCTTCCCTGCCCTAGAAGCAAGTAATATTCTTATTTTTGTGATCCTTTTAATTATATTTTATGCAAAAATAAATAAGCACACACTTTTTTTACACATTTTTACACAAACAGGAGTATATTATACACATTCACCTTGTTTTTTCACTTAGCAACCTATGTAGGTCTAATTCATAGATAAGGGGAGTCCTGATTCTTTTTCACAGCTACATAATATTCCATTGTGTGGCAATAACATAATGTATTCGACCAGTACTTCATAGTGGACACCTGAGTCATTGTTGACATTTTACTGACAATGCTGTAATGAAAGACTTCGTATAAACATCTCATTTGGCATATGGACAGGCCTACTCATAGAATAAATTCCTGAAAGTGGAATTGTTAAGTCAAAGGTCATGTACGTTTATGATGTGGACAGAAATTGCCCAATTTTTCATCATAGGGGACATACCAATCCCATCAAGTAGAAAGTAACTATTTTCTCATGACCTCAGCAACTCAGTGTATCAAACATTTTAGTCTTTACCAGTTTGTTGAGATTGTTTTGCAGGTGAGTCAATTTGCTTTTCCAAGAATGACTGGGAAACTGATAGATTAACAATGCCTCTTTCTCACCTACCCACCCCCTAAGGGACCAAACATAAGTATCTGTAGTGAAGTATGTGAATTTCCCATCCATCCTCTGCATTGCAGAGAGTACAGATGGACTGACCAGCAGGAGGTCAGAATGGGAAATGAACCAGTTCACTCAAATCATCTTCTTCCTTCCTTTCATTATCCCAGTACACCCCAAATTCTGGATATCACAGACTAGACCACCAAGTTCTGACTTCTGATGTTTAGTGTTTGGAAAGCACTTTTCATCACCAGCCATCTAAGCAATGGCTCAAAGGCTTAGAGCTTCACAGGGGAGGTGGGACATTCCAGAGCTTCAGTGGGAGTTGCTTGCCTTAACCGGTGATGGCTGCTCGGTGATATAAGGATATCAGGGATTTCATAGTATGTGAGACACATGATCCTATTGGCCTCTCTTCTGTTTCAGTGATATCGGGAATTCTTAGAGGATAAGCACAATTATAGGCTTCTTTTATGCCATTGAAAAAATCAAGGCCGCACTGTGAACATGAGGAAACTATTTCCATTAGTGTTTAAATGAACAAAGTTAAAATTTTCTTTCTCAATTGAAAATTAAGGGTGTCGCCATAATGCAAACACTCCCAAGACAAAGAAGGACAAAAAGAGTCAGTCTCAAGCCAGATCCAAATTGATAGGATTTGTTAGGTCAGCAGTGTGTAGCTAGAGAGAAAATTTATAGGTGTACTTTGAATTTATTACCAGTGTTTCAAAATTATCCTATATACAACTTCTCTTAGAAGTGTAGACAATCTGACCACACTGGGAATATACTTTTATGAGATTATAACCTGCCAGGACTGATTAGCAGCTCCCCCCACCCCCACTCCTCAAAGACACTGTTTCTCTGATTTACCACAATCCTTACTACTGCTTATTTTTCTCTCTCATTAATTAAGGTCAAGTGTTCATTGTAATTTTTATTTATTTTTTAAAGATTTATTTATTTAGGCATACAAGGGCTGGGGTGTAGGCCAGAGGTATTGGGGGTGAGATTCACCAGCGATAGAGTGGAGAGCAGAACAGGCAGATTTATTGACATACACTGCTAAGAGGAGCAGTGGGTAAGACAGAAGACGTCTTTTGTACTCTGCCCAGGTATCGAACTTGTGCTGCGGTGGCTTGCAGATTGCTTCATAGTGCTGTGACTGAAACCCTTGTGTGACCAAGGAGGCCCCATTGTCATTTTTATATTAGTGCTATTGAATTTAAATAGATCAAGAGATACATGTATTTCAGGAAAGATGAGAGAGAGTTTACATTTTATGAAAATGAAGCATATTCTTATGTGTTAATAGGCAACCAAAGTTCTGTCTTGAAATTACCCAGTCTGCCTTTTTGATCTACCTTAACTATCTGTCCCCTGTAAGTACGAGAGTTTAATTGCTGGTCTGCAGTAACCTCCAAGGTCTGAATTATAGGGAGAAATAGAAGTGACCTTGACCCCACAGAAAAGACCTTCAAAGTCACAGCTGAACTCTGAGCAATGACAGGACTCTGACTTTTTCTTTTCATGTATCATCTCAGTTACACAGTGATGGCCTAAAAAGCATAACCTTGAACTTCAAACCTGAGAAATGGGGCTCCATATTTAGGATAAAGCGGGGGTGATTAACAGGCACACTGGCCCTCTTTACAGGCCATCATGATGATGTGATCAGTGTCTTAGAGGATGAAGGCTGCTGTAACAGAATGCTGTTGACTGGGTACCTCATTAAAAAAATAATTTATCACAATTCAGGAGGCAGCAAAGTCCAGGACCCAGGCCCTAGCAGATTCACTGGTGCAGTCCTGCTTCATAGATAGCAGCTCCTTGCTGTCTTCTCACATCAAAACCAGCTGTCTGGGTTTCTTTTATAAGGACACTAATCCTTCTCTGGAGGGTTCCACCCTCATGACCTAATCACCTCCCACGGTCCCCCCCTCCTAACACCATCACTCTGAGTCTTAGTCTTCAAGTTGGGAGTTGGGAGGAACCTGGGAGACCAAATATTTGGGCCACAGAAGAGAGAGGTGTTGAGAATTTACCCTAAGTTTTTCTCTGAAGTGGAAATTCTATTTCATTAGAGGAAGGATGCTGACAAAAGGGATAGGACTGGATCTTCTTGAGCTGAACTGCCAAGCAGCTTTAGGCTTGAAAATTTCCAGAAGCAAGACAGCTAGCTAAGCAGTGTTTGGGTTCCCATTGACTCCTTTATCATCACATCCTCAGTGTCGTCCATGACCCAGAAAAGATTCAAAGCCTCTGGCCTGCATTATCATCCTTGCTCAGTTGTCTGAGACTCAATTTTCCAAATGCCTCTCAGAAATAGAGTGAAAGGCAGCGGAGACCCGAGCACTCAGTCACAGAAGTCCCAGCTCCACGCCTAGTACCTCCTGCTAGGCATCACCGCAGCAGCAGCTCCGAAATGTTTCCCAGGCTGCTCAAGTTAATAGAAAACACAACACTCTTCTTCCTGAGATGACAGGCCAGCTCCCGTGCTTATCCTCTGCTCTACCTGCTCAAAGCCACTGAAATTACTGGAATCAGCTTCCTTCCTCCTAGTAGTAACCCACATTTGCTGCTTTTTTAAGCATCCGTGGCATGATGGGGTTAGCCCTGTTAACAGCACAAAGAGAGACCCAGCCGCCACCTGCTTCCCTGAGTCAGGAAGAGACAGACAGGAGTGGAGGAGCAGCTGATCCGCATTGGCCCCACGCACATAGACGGAGACCACAGAGCCTAGTTGAAGCAGGGCGGAGGCAGGCTAGACGCAAGAAAGAACTTCCAGACTCAGAAGCCCACAAGCTCCCTGAATAATAGATAGGTGTGTCTCTTCCTCCTTGATGCTTTGTGGTCTAAATTCAAGGAAAATCACAAGCACGCCATCTCTTAAGTAAGTCCCCAAAGGTTGAGACATTCATATTTATCTAGTTGTCACTTGTCTTGCTAATAGTCAGGGCTGGCAGGGGGGCAAGACCTGTGAGACTTAACTCCCTAAGCAGGTGTGGTCACTAGAGCTCAGTGTGTGAATGACTGTGACATTCATTTTTCAATTCTCTTGCAAATTACATGTGTTCTGGGCTGGTAGAGAGAATGAATCAGCTCACCCATCACCAAACATTCACCAATGTCTATCATGTGCATAGCTCTATGGAGAAAGCAAAGATGAGCAAACATTATCCTCCCTGCCCTTGAGGCCCCAGTGGAGAGGGTCTCCTTGAGGAGACAGGCATGTATGTGGTGCGACTAATCCAAAAATGGGGACATAATCGTAAGTATCTCAGCAAGTGCCAGGAAAGTTTATGGGAAGAGATGGCATCTGACCTGGGTTTTGAAGGTCACATAGGAGTTTGCCTAGAAGAAAGTGGGGAAAGTTATGAAAGGCTGTGGCTGTACATTTTTTTCCTTGCTGCGGATCATTATTGGATCTCTGAGATTATCTTTAGTAATACTACCTGAGATGTATTGAGTCTTGACACCGTTCTCAAGATCCTTGACATAATAATTTTCTTAAGTGAAATGCTACCCTAGATAAGTGATGTGAGAAACTGCTTGTCCTTCCTGCCAATCCTTAGGATCTGAATCACATTCACAGCCTCCCTCCTCTCTAACCATCCATTCCCCTTGCCTGCCCGATACCCTTTCCTAAGGTAGGTGGTGGGACCGTGACCTGCGTAGGGGCAGAACATCTATTTTCAGAGACTAGATAAGGATCAGGCCAATCCTTAGGGAGGGTCTTGGCCTGGGGGAGGTAGGACCGCTGCTGGGATTCTCCCCTTTGCAGCCTGTGCCCGTCTCCCTGGCCTTTGCTGACAGACTGTCAGGCATCAGATAGATGACTCTGTATTGAGATCCCCCTCCCTGCCCCACCCTCATCAAGAGCCTGGCATTTCCACACCTCTGGGGACTTAGGGCTTCCTGGCTGCTTTCAAAATGTCAAAATCTGTTGAGAAGCTTTTCTCTACTTCCAGGTAAGTGTCAGCCTCCCCCCAGCCTCTCTGGAGAACTCCAATTAGGAGGAGGCGGGCTTGCTGATGGACCATTTTCCCCAATTGTCAGAAGAGCAAAGGTGGCC